TTCGGTGTATGATAGAGTAAACAGTAATAGCACGTGCAGCGGCATCTCCCCTGGGTCCTAATGCCCGTTTGATAAGGAGTTTTAATTCCGTAGGGGGCGCTGTTGGCCTACTTTTAATGAAATGAAAGTAAAATACACAAATAACATTTAGACTGTGTTTCTGATTAAATAAAGCAGTAATTGATGTCATAAAATCATGAGTATGTTTTGATTTAAAGTAGTGGTCGACCGATATATCGCCAAGGCCGATATTTGGCATTTTTCAAATATTGGCATCGGCCAATACGTTTTTCTGTTTGGCCGATTTGTTAGAGGCTGGACTTTTATTTTGATGGCGCTGAGAACGGCAGCGCCTGAGCGCATTAAAATAAAATGTTATGGTTACTACTGCATCTTTCTGAAAAAAATGCAGCGATTTATACATAGTTTATTTATAGTTATTTTCAAAGCTTCAATGTACTGTCATTATAAAAGAACTTTATTATTGTTTATTTAATTCTAACAAACAAGTTATTTACTAACCAAATTTAGTAAATTTGCTTATAATTTCCACACAGTAGAGACTTGGTGTTGTTTCCAAAAAAAAGGAAATATATCGGTATCGGCTATCTGCCAAAAAGAGTTGAAAAATATCGGCATATCTGCAAAAATCCAATATCGTGCATCCCTAGTTAATAACATTTCAAGATTATAACATTTACAGGACAGAAGCAATTTTACTTTATTATCCATAGACAATTTTTTTCCTGAAAAATTATGTTAAAACATAAGCATAAAATATTGAGCCTGGTCTTTTGAGGAATGTTCATTTGTACATCTCTAAATCATCACTGTATTGCATTGTACACAAGTGGAGCTTGAAGAGAGCTTTGATCATAAAACTATAAGCATTTACATATCACCTTACTAAGATATTGACTGACAACTCAGTTTTCAGTTATACAGATCTAAAAAAATTCACTGATTTAAATTACAAGCTATCAGAATTCCATCTAACTTTTTGCCACGTAAATAACATCTGCAACAAATTTTATTGAGCCTGGTCTTTTGAGGAATGTTCATTTGTACATCTCTAAATCATCACTGTATTGCATTGTACACAAGTGGAGCTTGAAGAGAGCTTTGATCATAAAACTATAAGCATTTACATATCACCTTACTAAGATATTGACTGACAACTCAGTTTTCAGTTATACAGATCTAAAAAAAATTCACTGATTTCAATTACAAGCTATCAGAATTCCATCTAACTTTTTGCCATGTAAATAACATCTGCAACAAATTTCAAGTTTTTTTGTCTCTTCTAATATGAGCCATAAAAACCTGACGTATCAAATATGATACAAAACATATGCAAGCTTTTCTAGATTTCTATTTAAAGTATTATTTCATATGTCAGGCTTTACTTGGTTAATCTCTTATTTAACAATTAAAAGTGGACAAAAAGCACTCGGACACTTGAGTACATACAATTCAAATTAAGCAGTTCTTATTGTACTAAACGTTTTACTGAATGAAAATGAAGTTGAACAACGCTTATAGCACATCGTGACTGATTAACAAGATTACTATGAAGCAATTAACTTTAACAGCTAGCTGACGGATGTAGGTTATTTTTTAGAAACATTACATATTTAACCATACAAAGACGATGCCCGACAGAATGCATAAACAATAACTGTATCATATTCCGGATGAACGCCACGCCTCCCAAACATTTGAACTAAATATGTAACAAATACTATCGATTGAGAAAAACCGACATAATGTCAGCAACACTGACATTAAATCCCAAAGCCTACAACTTTACACAAACTCCCTTAAAACTAATCAGCGGACACCACGCCGTCACTGAACCGCAAACAATCCCAGTAGCCACGGCAACACCGCCAACCGGAGTTAAACACCCGCCACGAGAGCTCAACAGCCCGGCAAAAGCCCAAGATACGACTGGCGTCTCTTTAAACGCTTTACAGAGACTACATCTCTGTAATCCGTGAAGTTTACGATCGTGCCGCTATGATCAGGTGGCTGCATCTCTGCAGGAACTGACCCCAGCAACTCAGCCACAAGCTGATGATGCACTTTCCGCGCATTAGTACTGTAACGTTATTTCTCTAGACGAACGCTCACCTCATCGCTCCCGCTCGTGCAGAATCCCGCCTCGCGCTGGCGCCGGTGTTTTTCCGCCAGCCCGAGCAAGCACGACAGTGACGGATCCTCTCTCAGCGTAGCTCTAACGCCGACGGGCCTCGGCCCTTCTCTGTCTTCAGCAGCCCTCACCCGACCGACGTGAAAGCGTTTCTCCGTCTTCAGCAGGCTCCGAGACGTCCATGGCCGACCTGGGAAACGGCAGCGAACGGTGGCGGAGGTGTTTACGGTCGCTACAACAGCCGAGGCTGGTAATCCGCCTCCTGCTGCCATGTAATAAGTTTTGAAAAATGTATTGGTCCGCGTATTTTTCCCAGAAGCCTTTGCAAGACTTGTCGTCAGAGCCTCGTTGGCGCAGTTGGCAGCGCGTCAGTCTCATAATCTGAAGGTCGTGAGTTCGAGCCTCACACGGGGCAAGGCAACGTTTTAACTTCTGTAAATAGTAAAAATCTTCTTATGTAAAAAAGTAAATTACAAAGCTTGTCTGTACTTCAAATATAGAAGTGACAGAAAGCTCGCAGAGAAATCCTATCAAAGGAAATATATAATTAGTGATTGGAGGAAAGAGATCTTCCCCCTGAAACTGAGCACCTCGGCTTGTCCTGGAAAAGATTGAACGACTCACATTAATATTTTTAAAGTGCCTCTTGGAAATACCAAGCTGAAGTATATTTTGCATACATCAATGGAGAAGCTTCTATGGGTTGATGTGCGATTGTCCAATCCCCATTGTCCTCTAGTTTGCAGCAGCCCTCACTTTTAGCCACTTGGACGTCAGTGGTTTCCATCTGTCTAATGATAAATCTACTGTCCTGGATTGCTTTGCCAGTCTGATGGTACAGGTACTCTAACCCAATCAGTTCACCTGAAAATGAGTTGAAGATCAATGCACTTGAAATCAAAACATGCAATCAAAATGTAACCATGTTTTATTAAATGGATAGTTCACATAAATATGAAAATTCTGTCATAATTAGGCATTCTCATGTCATTATAAAATTTCTTTCTTGTGTGAAACACAAAAGAAGCCATTTTTAAGAATGTTGGTTACCAACCAAGTTTTGGTGACAATTACGTTCAGTGTCATTATTGTTAACAAAAAAACTAAAGGCTGAAATATATAGAACACAAATTAAGATATTTTTGATGAATTCTGAGAGCTTTCTGAACCTCTCATCCGCGTGACGCAGCTGACACACAACAGCATACGTTGTTTACGTTCAGTGGATACTCTCAAAAATGGCGCCAGGGTGACGCGGAGGAGACCAATTGTTAAAGTCGTTGTTTTTATTTTCTTTGTGCACAAAAAGTAATCTTGTAGCTTCGTAAAATTACGGTTGAATTCCTGATGTCACATGGATTATTTTACCGATGTCCTTGCTACGTT